AAGTGCCGAACCAAGATGTTAATGTTATTTTCGAGTTTATTGTAACTTTTTTTCTCTTAATCGTTACATCATAGACATGCTAATTGTATCTGACCAGCTGGAGGGTTGTGTAATACATTTGTATTATGTAATTGGTTTGTAGTATTAGTATGTTTTTTATTCGTTTTTTTAATATTTTAATGTCGTGTATTTTCGTGTTTTTTCAGTAGGGTGATGCAATAATGAATTTAGTTTTATCGATTTTAATATTGTACTTTTCTATTTTTTTTCTCTTTCGTTTTTTTCTTACGCGTATTAATGGCGTTCTCATTCCCGCCGGAACGTCATTGCTTAGTGCTCAATTCGTGGCTTCATCTAATTGATCTTATTTATTAATTAATAATAGGATACGACTTTTCACCATAATTCATAATGGCAGCTAAGGCGATCAGTTCGACCGACGATTATGTGGCTTGGAAACCAAAGGCCTAGAAAACCTTGGTTAAATAGAGCGGGTGGGCAGGTGACATTTCCCTTCGAAAAGTCGTATTTCTACGAACACAGAGACAATTGCAAAGGTAGAACCCGGATTTGCAATATACGTATTTGTAGTTCGGCAATTAGATGAACGTTCATGTATTGTTCGGAATGATACGTGAACGGCTAAAGGCATTTTTTTTCGCTCTCGTTTTTTTTTCGCTTTTTAAGAACTATATTCTTTCGTTGATCATACTAATTTCTTTTTTTTATACTAAGTTTTATGTTGCATTTTACTATTTTTAATATTTTCTATTTCATAATAAATTAGTTTTATATCATACGCGTAATTTCGTTACTTTTACTGTTTTTATCCTACTTATCACTATTGCATTATCCGCTTTGTTCGCCATTTTTAATATACTAGAATTTGTTTTTTTTATATTTATATATTTATCGTTGTGTCGTTTTTTTTTTTGCCGTGCGTCGCGAAAGTTTGGTTTGGTTTACGGATAGAGTTTATGGCCTATGTTACAAGGCGTTGAAGGTAATGAGAGTATTGAGGGCAATTGTTAGTTGAAATGTTGAATATGTTAAGGTGCCCAAATCGTTTATGTATTATTTTTGTCGTATGTTTTTTTGTTCACTGATAATGTTATCGTAAATCAAACCAAACGAACGTTTGTAGTGTATCCCGCGTTTATACCGTCGGCGTTTTGTTTAATTTTCGTGACGCCCTTTTATATGGACATATTACGATTTTATTTTTATTGAAAATACTTTAATTCTGTCTCGTCAATAGTTATTGGCTCGTGTTTTTGACCGCCCAATCCAGATTAAGGGATCCGATATGGCAAATAAAAATAATGAAGAAAGAAGTATTAATCGAAAGAAACAGGAATGGATAATCTTAGATAGGGTGAAGTTGATATTTGGAATCAGGGTTAATTATACTTAAATGAATAGGTTTGTTTGTATAAACAAATATGTAAATCAAAGGATCGTGTCGTAGCCTTTACCATCTTTTTTAATTATTATTTTCATTTTTTTTTTTTTCTTTCTTTATTTTTTTTTATAAGAATAGCCCGTAGACAGCCCGGCTGCCGAGCGACGTAGCGCTAAGTCGTGGAGGGCCGAGGCATGCGATAGGGCACTCGCGGTAAACCAGTTAGACTCGACTCGCGAACGAGTACTACAAAATATCGCGAGGCTCAACAAAAATGCCGAATTTGTCGTAGGCCAGTGGGTGTTAGGGAACACGGAAGTTGGTCGAAAGGCCAATCAGACAAACTACAGCATACATGGCACGGGCCTTATAAAATAGTTGATAACTATAAATCTGAATTATAAGATTGAGCGTAAAGTTAGAAACAGTTGCAAATACGACACGGTCCACGTTAGTGGAATAAAAGAAGAAAGAAAGAAAAAATATTTCTTTCACTTTTCTCTTCGTTTTTTTTTAATATAGATAAGAACTTATATATAGATGTACATATGTAATAATTAAACATAATTATAGTAATAGGTTTAGTTTTAAGATTCCCCCCATTAGATAAGTCGTAAAATAAGAAGACATATAAGAAGTTATAGTGGGATTTTTGTTTGTGGGAGTAGGTTGTTGCAACATAAATGTATAAATATAAGTCTGCAGGCTTATATCGGGACGCCATATCGGATTTACGCTTTTGTTTTATGGTTATATATGTGAGTTGAAAGCTGGGCCCAGTAGTCCACGAGCGAGGACCATTGAGATGTCCGAATCGATGGACGCGTACGGTTTCAATCGGGGAAACCGCCCTTAATCAACCCCGCAGCCGTCGAATTATTATGTGAATTATTATGTATTATGGATTATTATGGAATATGTTTGGGAAGGTACCTTCAGCGAAGACCGGGATGGCGACATAGGTCGCAGCACGCCATCTCCCGTCAAGGGGGCAATTTGGGGTACTTTTGTGCCGGGCTGAGGAACCCCAGGTGTGTCACGCTTACATAGGTGTTAAGTGTAAGTGCCATTTGTTTTTGGGTGGGCATAGACGGTCGGTCTAGAGATATTATTATTGGTATGGGGCTCTGCGGGGGGAGCAATGAAGGAAAACTAGATCCTAGCCCCCATCTGTGGTCTTGTATTTGGGGGGCAATCACACCAGTAGAGGCTGAATTACAGTAAACGTCGCGTCCGTAAAAGTAAACTAGTTATTTAAATAATTGTATTTTGTAAATTGAGGAGTATTTTTGTTTCTTGTTTATTGTCATATTAGTTTCGTTTTTTTTTTCTTGTCAAAGTTTTTCCGCGCGTTACACAGTAAAAGATTGATTGTCCATATCATCGGGTTCATGATTTCTGGCGAACTGATTTATAATTCGGGTTACGGTTATTCCATTAATTCTAATACTACAACCAAGAAAATAGGTGACAGCACACGCACATAGGATAAGATTGCGTTTCAAGGAAACGTGTTACGAAAAATTGTACGAAAAACGATTGTACTTCGAATATTTTTTTTATTAAGTTTTTGTCTTTTGTTAGTCTGTGTTATATAACTACTTTTTTTTCTGAGTCTAGTCTTGTTTTTCTTTTTTTTTTCTGAATTGCTGAGTACAGTTTTTCCCAACACGGTTTCTTTGAGAACGAAATAGGTTAAGATAGTCTTAAGCAAACGGACTTATTTTTGTATTGTAATTTTTGTGTTACTGAAGGATTTTGTTTTCGTTTTTTTTTGTATTAAGGATGTTATGTATTTTTTTATCAGACCCGTGTATATGTAAGTTTATGTTTACTAGCTGCTACGTGTTTTGAGTTTGTAAACAAAGGGGAATAGCTTACCAGGATTCTAGGAATATCTGACCGGAACCACAACGCCTAAAGGATGGCCAGCACGCAACCACAACTACAATCATCGTCTAGCAGCCAAGGCTCACACTTGAGCAAAGCCAACCAAGTTAACTAGCCAACCCAAAGACGAGGACCAAAGGGCAAAACAGGACCCTACGAAAAACACCGGAACAACCCGGAAAAAAACAGGAGAGGGCAATAATTTCAACTTTGAATTTAAGAGCCGAGGCCGACTCTACTGTGACAGGGGGGCGTGTAACGACAATCGGTATTGTCGTCAAAAGGGTTGCATAACCACCAGTGCAATGACGCTCCCCCACCACGCCCAATAGGGATGCCAATATAAGGTCCAGTCTGGGGTTGAAAAATGGCATTAAGAATTGTATCATCCTCTGAGGAGGTCAGTGGGTCCACGCGCCAGGCGCTGGACCCGCTTTGTGTATAGTGGTGTGTGTGTTGTGCCAGGAGAGGAGAACCCGTTCCAGTAAAGGTCAGATGCATTATTGGTTTTATAAACTATTCCCTCCGTTCCGCTCCGTTCCGTCGTTATCGTTACTCCGTTGATACCGATTTACGTTAGTAATTAATAAAGATTTATGAGTACGTTAGGTTTTAGGCAAAGGGCATGACAGTACGTAGGTATTGTCATGCCGTGACACCTGTAATAATTAGTAATAATTAAATAAGCTAAAAGTACATTCTGTTTCATTCGCGTAGTTAGTTGGCTTTTCCACAGGTAATTACAGGGTGGTTATAGAAGTCGGGTTTAGGAGTTGGTGTAACCCTTTCGTTGGGGATGCAACGCTAGATGTAATAATTGGAAGTCGTTGCATATCCCCTAAGAAAGGGAGCATCACCCCTT